CCAAAAGGTAGGAGAAGGATATACCTGATACGGAGTAACAGTAACTCCCAACGAAAGTGTTCACACCCAAGGAGAAAACCAAAGACTGCTCCCACTAAAGATGACACAGAGTGAGGTGGAGCAGAATCAGCAAGATGGCTCTTCAGCAAGAACCAAATTCTTCAACAAGAATGTGATGGAGGGCTGGTGAGCACGACTTCAAATTACCTTTTCTACCAAAAGGTAATATCAAGAACCTTTCTTGATCACTCCCACTGGTGGAAATCGAACTGACAAGGGCGGCAAGAGCAGTAAAGAGCAGAAGACAGGAGCAATCAAACTACAGATTCTTCTCTCTATGTAATCTGCGAACTGAGTAGTGTCTCTTGGAGGTTCGCCCCGCTCCTCTATTTATAGCCTTTAAAGAGAGCATCTCCTAATCCCATTAGGAGTTTCCTAATCCAAATCATGTATTTGGATCTGGACTCTCTTTAAGAGATAAGGATAATCCCTTATCTTAACTACAGATAAAGATCAGCATTCCTAATCAAATTAAGAGTTTCCTAATCCAAATCTTTATTTAGATCTGGACTCTCTGAGTGGATAGGGATAATCCCTTATCCTATCTGCTGATCTAAATCCCAAAACCGCCCCTAATTAATTAATCTTATTAAGCCAGTTCGAATTGGGCTTTAGGCCCATTAAGTCTATGTGCTCACTTAACCTCCTAATTGTTGCCCAATTGGCTATCATTGTATGGCGTTGGACCCAAACATTGATCTACACATCAACCACATGGGTTCAGCCCAGCTTCTGTTACAAGGCCTGGCCGAATTCAATGTAGGAAACAGTGAACCCCTGAGTCCATCACCATGGGCTCTTAATGGGCCCAACATTTACACTAAATGGTCCTTGGGTCAAGCCACCTTATAAAAACCCAAAGACTGTGGGCAGATGCAAGATTAGCCCATCAGGAATTACCCTCAATGGCCTTATACTTAACCTCTAAGCCCATAATGATCAAACATTGCCCGACAAGAAGGGACCTCTCCCTCGGCTGCAAGGTATAGTGTTGCACTCTCTAGTCACATGGATCCCGGGAATTAAAACCTTTTACAAACATTTTGAAACCATAATATATGTATGTATATCTCTATATAAATATATTTTGCAAAACAAATTTTCACGGTTGAAATCGACTACTGGTAGTTTAGGTTTCCATCAGAGAGAGTGCATCCTCAATCATTCACTTTGTCCGACAAAGGGGTTGATCCTGTCACTATGATCACCCACTCAGATGAATTCTCAAACTGTCCCAACATACCCAGGTTTTGACTCCCTCTATGGATCTCACTGATTGGCATATCAAAGACAGCCCAATCCGACACCTAGTGTAGTATCATAATCGAGTCTAGGGGTCAGGTGTAACATTCCATTTTTGCCCATCTATCTCCAAGGTCCAGGGCAATACTGGAATTTTGGTCCGGTTCAGGGTTTCAAGAAAACCCACACTGCATGTACCTCAAGTCTCACCCTGGCAGCTGAGACAAGCCACCCAACCAACTTGGCGGCACATCAGTGTCAGCCTTGACAGGATATATCTCCCCAGATCTATCCAACAGATGTGAAGATTCTAAACTAACACGAGTCTCGTATGTTTCCAGTTTAAGGGTATTACACAAAAACACACCATAATAACATGAATCAAATATGTACTTTATTCATTTACATTAAATGTCATAATGTACATCATTCTAATTGGAGCTAAGGGCATACACTGTCTAACAGCACATTGGAAACCCAGGGTAGTCAGGAGTAGGCGGTGCCATCAAAAATCATGCAAACATTCTAGTTAGTTACTCAGGTCCAATAGAAAAAAACTTAATCAAAGCAGAACTCTTTGCTGTACTACAAGGCTTATGGCTGCCAAGATCAATGGCTTACAGAAATCTGTTTGTAAGAGATTCAAAGGCAATTGTCGGTTGGCTGAAAAGATGAGTTAACAGGACCTTGACATATATGACATCAGATCAGAAAGATTATGTTTCCAACCAATATTGTGGAAGCTAATTTTGCTTGGGTGACACAATAAGCAAATACACTGGCCGATGCACTAGCCAGAGAAGGAATTCATGAACAATTGCTGAATTGGGGGAAGGGGGGCATTGATGTAGGACCAGCTTAATTCTAGTCCTTAGAGAATGTTGAATGGTTCTCTTTGATCAGAAATTGATGGTTGTTGATGGCTGTAATGGCTTCTTGAAGGAATAAGAAAAAAAAATAGGGAGAGAAAGAAGAGAGAAAATACCCAGAATCACTCATGGGGTGCCTAGAATCTAGGGTATCAAATCACTCACCATAGTAAGCATAAGCTGAACAAAACTCAATAAACTTCATTGCTCTTTGTGTAAAACGTCCATACATATTTATAGACTCTAAACTAATATTAATCCTAGGAGTCAAAGTGTTAGACTCATAATAGTCCTAGGAGTCAAACTGTTAGACTCAATAATTCTACGACTCAAACTAAGCTGTCATATCCTATTTCATAAGACTCAATAACTCTAATCCTACTTATACAATGACTCTGAAATTTTAAACATAAATAAACTATAAATAGACAATCAAACCCTATTATTGGACACTACAGAAAAATTTTTGATAAATACCCTACAGAAAAGTTTTGATAAATACCCCACAGAAATATATAAAATTTCACAAAATTCCAATTTTGACTCTTCAGTTCCTGCATCAGGCATCCCCTCGATTTTTTTTTTTTTTGAGAAATGGTTAATTTCATTAAAGTAAATAAGAAAAAAAATAAGGCTGCTGAGGGAGAGATTTCCCCAACAGCTGGATACAAGGGGAGAAAAGCCAACAGGCTAAACATTACACAGTAAACTCATTTTCCCACAAAATAGCACCCCAATGATCCACAAAGTGCTTAAAGTGAAAACCCCTGAAGAGATCACCAATTGAAACCCACTTAAGCAGAATTTTTTTCAACAATTGCACACACTTTCCCTGAGGGAGCAACTTGATCTTCAAACAAGTGGTTGTTCCGCTCCTTCCAAATGCACCAGAAAACCACCATAGGAGAGACATTCCACAAGGCTTTAGCCCTTTTGAGGAAAGCCTGCCCATGCCAAGAAGACAAAAGGGGGCATCCTCTCATTTGAAAGGTATTACTGGTACCTAGGGGCATGTAAGGACATCTGGGGGAAACAGCAGCATCAGCATACAGAAGAACCTTCTTGCATTTAGACATTACTTTCAGGTACAAAAAGAGAGGTAGGACCTTGTGGAGATGCACTAGAGCAGCACTAATTTGCACTGTGTGGGAGGAAAGAAATGCAAGAATTTTTTAAGAGAAGGAACAAAGTACAAAAGCCTTTGTTGAATTATAACATTGAGAATAGCTCATTAGGCAAAAAGTTCGAAGCTGTTTTCGGATTCCAAGATTGAAGATTTCTTCAGAGCTTGGGATATCACTGCTGCATCCTCAACTACAAAACAAAGATCTATTGAGGTGTGGTCTCCTCCAATAAATGGTTGGAAGAAACTGAATTTTGATGGGAGCTGTTTGGGTAGCCCAGGCCCCTCAGGTATTGGGGGAGTCATTAGGGATGAAGAGGGGAACATAATTGCTTTATACTCCGGCCCTGTGGAACAGGGTGATGTGACAAGATCAGAGTTTTTGGCTGCAGTTTTTGGGGTTGAGAAGGCAAAAGAATTGGGTATTAGTAGGCTGATTATTGAGGGAGATTCTAAAACTGTGGTTAAGTGGCTGGTTAAAGGGGAGGGGGTGGCATGGCATTTGAGAAATGAGTTCAGAAAATTCAAATGGCTGCCACAGGACATGTTAATCCGAGTGAAATAGGTGAGGAGAGCTGCTAATAGCTTGGCAGATGGCTTAGCCAAGCAAGGGGTACATAGAACACATGTTTTGGGCTAAAATGTAGTACTGATTGGGAACAGCTTCTATAGCTGGTTCCTTTCACAACTTGTTGTAATCATGTTTCTCTCATAATTAATGATTTATTTTCTGTGTTGCTGATTAAAAAAAATTATACATTACTTCATTCTTCATCAGTAAAATTTTCACGGTTCTAGATCATAAAAACTATATATATAAACATCTTTAGGTCACATGTAATACAAGAAATGGCCAGCCTAATCTGGCTGTAATTAGGGGATTTAGTTTTATGTAGCCTGTCTATGGGTAATTTAAATTCAAATTACTGCTCGGGCCTCTAGAGAAGAACAAGGTAGCATTTTCATGGTTTTTTTTCTTCCTTCTTTCTTTCTTTCTTTCTTAAGAAATGGCCAGCCTAATCTGGCTGTAATTAGGGGATTTAGTTTTATGTAGCCTTCTATGGGTAATTTAAATTCAAATTACTGCTTGGGCCTCTAGAGAAGGACAAGGTAGCATTTTCATGCTTTTTTTTTTTCTTTCTTTCTTTTACGAGGTAACATTTTCAAGGTTTATTCTCTTCTTGTAAAGGACCTTTTTCTAATTTCTTTCAAGATTTTTGGGACTTTCTCACATAGACCAAAGGGAGGGATGCACATATGTGGATTAGATACCTAATGCCCTTTTATATGCTTTCCCCGAGTTGGAAACAGACTCTGTATGTGCAGGGTAAGGCTGTGTACATTTGTCCCTCCCCAGACCCCACATTGGTGGGAGACTCATGCAGTGGGCCACCCTGCCCACTACCAACCAACAATGGTAAATGTAGTCCTTATTGATACACTGATATCTCTATTTAAAGCCTTACTATCCTTCTTGATCAACATTCTTTTATCATTAACAAATTCTAAATTTCTAATTGTAATTGATCAAAAAAAAACAAATTCTAATTGTTGAATAAAGAAAGCTAATAGACACAAAAATGTCTGCTGTATATTTGTTGTCATTCCTCATGGCAGCATTTGAATACTAAACAACACAAAAAAAAAAAAAGAAAATCATCTAAAGTAGGGAGAGAACAAAAAAAATGTGATCAAATTGCACTTACCAGCACCCCACCCAGTTCTGATGCCACATGCTTCCTGGAAATTCCCTATGAACTGCAAGATAGACAGCCAAGTGAAGTCAAGCTTCAGCTACATATTCCATATAACTAATCATGTAAGTGAATTCAAGAAATAGCAAAATGTTCTATATAAAAATGCATATTGCTAGACAGTGTAGACTGCATGATAATCTTCACAAACGGTGTCAAATCAGTTCAAAAGGTATGACAAAGACCAAATAGTTATAATGGTTCAATAATGATATTTTTTTTTTAGAAACAAGATATGAATAAGTACAAGTGTACAACAGAGAGTGTTCTATAAGGACAGGGGCCCTAAGCTTAAAAGAACATAATAGAGAACAACAGGATAGAAAAGATAAAATCAAAAATGGAACACTATCTACAAAGACTTAGTTCAGGGTAGATAAACCTAAATACAATTCAGACCTACTGAGTCCACTCCTATTCAACTTGTCAGACAGAGAATTATCTGACATTGGAATCTATCTAAACAAGCTATAAACTCTGGATTCCGAGGATCTATCTCTTTTATACAATGATGTAACAACAAAGAACCAATATCCCCCCCCCAAATCTTGACTCTCTAGAAGGCTTGAAGCCATAAAGGAGGGGGAAAATGAAAAGAGCAGGCCAAAAGAGGAAATCATAGACACAATAAAATTAAAAGCTGCACAGCGGGGAAGACTTTTGGATGTCTTTCAATCTTATTCCTTGAATGATATTTTGAGGAACTAGGAAGAATTGGCACTTTCGGCTCAAGGAAAGTGTTGTACAGAGAGAAGAGAGAAAGGGAGAGAGGAGATGAGAGACGAGAGGACTGAGAGCCCAAAAAGATACTGCAGGCGTCACAGTATGTTATATTTATACTAGGGCAACAACAACTAAACATAAAGAAAAGGAAAAGTACAATAGTACCCCTGTGGTACTACACATATATAAAATAACATCTATTAACACTCCCCCACAAGTTGGAGCATAGATATCAATCATGCCCAACTTGTCACATAAAACATGATGTCTTGAGTGTAGTCCTTTTGTAAAAATGTCTACAAGTTGGTCCTTAGAGCTGACATAGGGAGTACACACTTCGCATGTGATGACTTTCTCTCTGATAAAATGCTTGTCGGCTTCGATGTGTTTTGTTCTATCATGTAGCACTGGGTTAGCAGCAATGTTTATGGTTGCTTTGTTATCACAGAATAGGGTCATAGGCCTGTCCACTGGAAAACTCAACAGATTCTTTATCCACATACTTTCAGCCACTCCATGAGCCATTGCTCGATATTCAGCTTCAGCACTGGATCTARYCACCACACTTTGCTTTTTACTTCTCCAGGTAACTAGGTTTCCTCCTATAAAGGTACAATAGCCACTAGTAGACTTTCTATCATTTAAAGATCCAGCCCAATCTGCAACAGTATACACTTCAACTTTCAAATGCCCATGTCTTTGAAACAACAAGCCAGCACCTGGAAACCTTTTAAGATATCGGAGGATTCTTTCTACTGCTTCAAGATGATGGACATAGGTGCATGCATAAACTGGCTAAGGACAGCAACAGCATAAGCAATGTCTGGGCGGGTCATAGAAAGATATAACAATCTCCCTACAAGTCTCTAAAACTGTTTCACATCCTTGATAGGTTCACCTTGGCTGTCACCTAATTTATGGTTGGGATCAATGGGAGAGTCAACTGACTTCACTCCCATTTTTCCAGTATCCCGAAGTAAATCTAGGACATACTTCCTTTGGGAAATGAAGATACCCTTTTTTGAGCGGGCAACTTCAATTCCAAGGAAGTATCTTGGAGGCCCTAGATCCTTTACTTCAAACTGTGTGGCAAGAAAACTCTTCAACCTCTGGATTTCATCCTTCCAATCACCAGTGACAATTATATCATCAACATATACTATCAAAGCAGCAATTTTACCTTCTCCTCTTTTCACAAACAGTGTGTGATCAGATTGACATTGCTTGTATCCTTTCTGTTAAACTGCAACATGGAATCTGTCGAACCAGGCTCTTGGTGATTGTTTCAGACCGTATAAAGATTTCTTCAACTTGCACACCTTCTGTTCATTGCCTTGAGCCTGAAAACCAGGGGGTTGTATCATGTAAACTTCCTCTTCAAGGTCACCATTCAAGAAAGCATTCTTGATATCAAGCTAATGTAGATCCTAGTCAAGGTTAGCAGCAAGAGAGAATAGAACTCTAACAGAGTTCATCTTGGCAACAGGAGCAAAAGTCTCTGCATAATCAACTCCGTACACTTGCGTAAACCCCTTTTCCACTAAACGAGCTTTATACCTCTCCACCGTGCCACAGCCCTATGTTTGACGGTGAACACCCATTTACATCCAACCGGATCCTTTCCCTTAGGAAGATCAACAAGTTCCCATGTGCCATTTTTATGAAGGGCATTAATTTCTTCCTTCATGGCATCTGTCCATTCAGGTACTGAAAGAGCTTCTACCACATTCTTAGGGATAGGGACACTATCAATGGAAGTAAGAAATGCACGAAAAGATGGTGAAATGTTTTCATAGGAAACAAAGTTGGAAATGGGGTGTTTAATGGTGCACGATCTAACACCTTTCCTGTGAGCAATAGGAAGTTCAAGGTCATTAGCAATAGAGGTATCAACTGTAATGGGGTCAGGGACATCATTGGGAACCAAGGTACCTGAGTGAGTATGATCCGCCCCCGAGGAGTTTGATGGCACTGGAGGTACAACTTCTAGATTCTCCACAGCTCTTGAATTTAGTTGGCCTTTGTTACGACGGAAGAAAACACAAAAAGGCAGAGGATCAAAAAGAGGAGGGAGTTGAACCAGTTTCTCCTCATTCCTACACTCCCCTGAGGAGAAACAGGGAAAAAGGGCTCATTCTCAAAGAAAGAGACATCCATGGAAACATAGAATTTCCGAGAAACTGGATCAAAACAACGGTATCCCTTCTGAGTGAAGGAGTACCCCAGGAATATGCAAGGAATAGCACGAGAATCCAATTTCCCACGAGTGGGAGACAGATTTTGGACAAAGCAC